AGAGAGAGAGAGAGAGAGAGAGGAGGGGAGAGGAGAGAGAGAGAGAGAGAGAGAGAGAGGAGAGGGGGGGAGAGAGAGAGAGAGAGAGAGAGAGGGCAGATACAGAGAGACAGAGACACACACAGAGAGGGAGAGAAACAAACAAACAAACATATTTTGTCTTTTTCAGATATGGATGACTGCTTTAAATGCAAAGAAGACCAATATGCAAACAAAGATCAGTACTTATGTCTTCCTAAAGTCAGTACTTATCTATCTTATGGAGACCCTTTGGGAATGAGTTTAGTTTTATCTATTACTGCTTTTGCTGTCCTCACAGCTCTGGTGCTTGGAATCTTTATGAAGCATCACAATACTCCTATTGTCAAAGCCAACAACCGAGATCTCACTTATATTCTCCTCATCTCTCTCCTTCTTTGCTTCCTTTGTTGTTTGTTGTTTATTGGCCAACCCACAAAAATAACATGTCCCCTACGACAAATGAGTTTTGGAATCATCTTCTCAGTAGCAGTTTCTTGCATGTTAGCAAAAACCATCATAGTGGTTCTGGCTTTCATGGCCACCAAGCCAGGAAGCACCATGAGAAAATGGATGAAGAAAAGTCTAGGGAGTTCCATTGTACTTTCCTGCTCCTTGATTCAAACATGTATTTGTGCCGTATGGCTTGTAACCTCCCCTCCCTTCTCAGATGTTGACATGCATTCAGAAGTTGAATATATAATACTGGAATGCAATGAAGGCTCTTTGATAATGTTTTATTGTGTCCTAGGCTATATGGGTTTCCTAGCTATTGTAAGTTTTACTATAGCTTTCTTTGCCAGAAACTTACCAGGTGCTTTCAATGAAGCCAAATTCATCACGTTCAGCATGTTGGTATTTTGTAGTGTATGGTTATCCTTTATTCCAGCTTATTTAAGTTCTAAGGGGAAATACACGGTAGCTGTGGAGATCTTCTCAATCTTAGCTTCTACTGTTGGGTTGCTGGGTTGTATTTTTTTCCCCAAATGCTTCATAATTTTATTAAAACCTCAATTAAATAACAAAGATCAGTTAATAAGAAGAATAACATAATGTATATGTATTTGTATTTTTAACAACTTTGATTTGTATTAGGGATATATGGATTAATTCTAATCTAGTTTCTAGGTCAATTCAAACTTGGTAAGTATTTAATTATTTATTAAATTGACTTGGCACTTCTGTTTGAGCTCCTTAATTGCATGTTATACAGATGACACTACCTGACAGTGAAAAATGTGAAGGATCTGTAAGTATTAAAAATCAGATGACACAGTAAAATAATGGGACTAAAATTAAGCATAATGTTAATGGAACTATTGGCCTTAGAATTGACAGTGAAAATATGAAAAATATGGGTAACTTCTTTCTTTTAGATCAGCTTTTAATAGTAAAGAAGCAAACAATCAAGAAATATTCTACAAACTAGTACTTGGTACAGCAGCCATAAAGACTTGGAAAAGATATTCAAGTACTGTAATATATCTATAGCTACAAATATCAGAATTATATAAGCTATGGTATTACCTGTGACACTCTATGGAAGTAAAAGTTGGGATTTAAAGAAACAGAATAGAAATGTATTGATGTCTTGGAACTTTGATGTTGGAGGAGATTCCTGAGAATATCATGAATACCCTATAATACAGTTTAATGATCCATTTAATGATGATCCACCTAAAATTTTCACTTGAGGCACAAATAATTAAGTTCAAATTATACTACTTCAAATACATTATGCAAAGAGTCACATTGTTGGAATAGAATGATTGAAGGGAAAAAAATAAAACAGCCAGCAGCAAGGTGAATGATATTAGGTAAGCTCACCATTGGGAGAGCGAGTGCGTTCAGAGAAGCATTGTGGGACTTGTGTTGGAGAACACACAAACCAGCATACAGAGACACTGCAGTTTAAATAGGCTTTTACTTTTGTGGAAATAGAGGTATCAGAGTCCATCAAACAGTCCAAGTCATACATGGATAAGACAGTCAGTCATCAATGTCTTTCAGTTAAGGGATAATCCAAATAACATAGTCCAGAATCATACAAACAGTCTGGTACTCAAAGTTTGCTAGCAGTTGCAAAACTTACAAAGCTCACGGCACTTTCTAACAGCCAGCTTCCAAAACACCCAGATCAGATCAGCCCAGCATGTAACAAACAGAGAGCTAACAGTCATTCTGGCTCCCTCTTATGGCCGATTGAGGAAAAAGCAACTAATCACATTGTATAGTATAATTTAAAGAAACAGGTATAGCATTCTTACATGATTTACATGATTTATATATTGCCAACCCAACTGTTAGATAATATTCTTAACAACGGTAATGATTGTACCATTTTGAGACTTGAAAGAACATGTTAGGGATAGATCAACATGGAGAAAATCTATATGGTTGCTAGGAGTAAAAATGAATTAATCAATCAACAATCTAGAAAACTATATTTAGATTTAAAATGTCGGCAATATTTTACCATCCTAAACAAGAGAAAATGAACATTTTTCCACACTGCAATGAAATAAAATAAAATAATGCATTTGTTCCTTTCAAATTATTTCATCAGAATTGTTCAGTACAGGGATAAAGGAAATAAAAAAGTAGGACTTTAAAGAGTGATCTGGATTTTCAAAGAGCCCTTATTTTTACCCTTTTAAATAATGTTTAATTGTTCTGATAATATTATTTATAGTTAATGTTAATCACATATGTTTGCCTTGTTTCAATGTGTTTAATTGGTGGAAATTTAAGTGTGAGTTGCCCTGAGACATTTAGGAACCATTCTGCTCAGAACTCTAAAAATAAATGTTAAGGGTTATTTAGGCATTATCTCTAGATCCTATTCAGAATTGTTTTTAATTAGGTCATAATCTCATGGAGGCAAGATAAAAGAAACAAAGGTACCTTCCCAGTTTAAGAGAAGACTATGGACTTTGGAACTCATAGACTATGGGAATCTGAGTTTATAGTTTCTCTTTAAGATCCTGTTTGTAAAAAGCTTCATGATATATTGCTGGAAAGCCAGAGCTCCTTCCTGGCCTCAAAGGTAAGGAACATTGATGTTTCTGGGGCTCAGATTGGGGAACCAGAGTTTTGCCACAACTCTGGCCAGGATGAAGACTTGTCTAAGATGCCTGGCCACAAGAAAGCAAGAGTGCGGGGAGGGGGCAGGGGCAGGAGCTTACGTGGCATGGCGGGTCTCCTAGGACCTCCTAGGTGCCAGCCACACCACACAAACTACTGTCTATCTCCCCGTGCTCAGAAAAGCAACTCCAGGAAGATCCTTTGGTGGCAGCAGGTGTCCTAGAACCTGCATGCTAGCAAAGGACTTAGCCGGGCTTCCTTTTCTGAGCACAGGGAGACAGATGGTATTTTGCGCTGGCTGCGCCATGTCCCCAAACCCTCCCATGCCGTGTTCTGCTGGAGTGAGATGGCAGCGGCAGCAACAACAGCAGCAGGAGGAAGCCGGAACTTGTCGAGCCATCACGGCGACAGGTCCCTGGAGGAGCTGAGAGCCTTGAGAGAGGGTGAGTGCGAGCAAGTTCCACCTGAGGGAAGGTGCAGGGAGGGAGCTCAGGTGGCTTCCACAGGTTTGCTGCGGGGACTCTCCACTCTTGTGGTTTTAGAAGGGGAGGGAAAGAGGCAGAGAAGGCGCCTCAGCTGGGACTCGGTCTGCCCCAGTCTCGCGGGTTGCCCTAAGGTTTGGCAGCGGTATCTCTATAGTAACACCGCAGCTGCGGGGTTCTTTGAACAGGAAGCTACACGCTGGCAGCAACAGCTCCCAAGCAGCTGCCTGGTCCCTCTTGTTGCTCACGTCTCTCTGCACTGTTCGGCTTCCTCTTTTGTAGCCTACCTTTTTCGCCCCCTTTTTCCCTCCAGCTTTCTGTTCAAGGAGCAGTTTCCTGCCAAGTGGGAGCCCCAGGATAACAAGATGTGATGAATGCTGCCTGTAGTAGCAGGGAAACCTCTTAAATGTGTGTGTGCATGACAGAGACACAGAGAGAGACAGAGTGTGAGAGAGTGAGAGATGTTCCCATAGCCAACTAGGGAAATATCACATCTTATCTACTTGAAAAGGGGGAAAAGAAGGTGTCTTAGACGCTTTATGGATGGCTAAGAGACTTTCTGGCTCCTTGCCTCTGGTGATATGTAAATCCCCCCACTTTTTTTTTTAGTTTTCTGAAACAAGTCAGGGAGGTGGTGAACTGTGCAAACATTTCATTATGGTTATTGTCAGAATGCCCACAGTGTATCTATTTATGTTGTTTAAAACATTTTTTTTTAAAAAGAGCAAAATTGGTGGGATGTTACTCCACCCCAAAAATGTTTCCACAGGAAATGCTAGCATTCTTTGCTGAAGTCCGTGCAATGAAGAAATGGTCCTCAGAAATAATCATT